CACCTTATCCTTAAGCTAGAGAACCCAGCGATGGGACGAGCCAGGCAACAAAGTCCTCAAAAAAATGAAGAAGAGGATTCACGACTTCCGCATGTGCCTCGGAACTAAGGGAGGTTGCTCATGAAATAACCGGTTCCGAAGGCGTTGAGAGTGGAGCAATATCACTCTCGGCGGTGCTCACTTCCCAGATGGGACTTCCCCTTAGCTTTCGTGGGACAGTTCGCAGTGCCGTGTGTGTCGCTGTTGCACCACAAACAATATCGGTACTCGAAGTGGATCTTGAAGACGCCCTTCAAGATGCCATACTGGAGCCAAGGTTCTTGAGCTGCTGTTCCAGTCCTCGGGGATGAAGAGGTGTTTGTCGATTTGCCGCGTCCTCGACCCTTGGTCGGGCGGCCATCATACCGGACAGCTGCAAACATATCTCCCTCATTTAACGAAGCAGACTCATTAAACTGGTCGGTGTTGTTGCTGCGACCATGAGCACCTTTGGCCGATGCTGATCTCTGCTCTAGCCTGCAGAAGACGAACGACCAGCATTGCGGGCTTCCGTGTTCGTCACAGTGATCTGCGAGGCCTTGTTGAATAATAACTCACTCGCGGTGAGCGTCTTTGCGACTTGTGTTAAGGCGTTCTGCAATGTCGGGCATGATCTTGTGATGAAGTAGTGCTTCACACCTTTGAAGCCGATCGACAAGTCGGGCATGGATGCGAAGCGCTGGAACTTGGCGATCCAATCCGTGCTCGCCAAGGAGTTCTGGTGGAACTCCTGAAGCTTCTCCTTTGCCTGGAGCTCGAGCGTTCCACTCGGAACTGCATGTGCCATGCTGCCGTGAGATCTTGCAAACTCATCTTCGTGTGCAGCTCGGAGACGACGACCTTGTGCGTGGACAAGATATTGTCAAGCCATGCTTGACACGCGCCGCCCGACCGGTGATAGAGACAAGCATGCCGGTTGGGGAACCGCACATGGTGCATGTCCAAGCGCAAGTCGAATTGCCGCCACCACGGAAATGGATCGGTCTTCGATGCATTGCAAAGGACCGGGATGTCATCCAACTTGGGTGGTCGGTCGGGAGGTGATGAGGCTGGACTAGCGGCTGCTGCCCGAATCTGCTGCTCCAGGTGCTGATTGGGTGAGTGGAGTTGCTGATTGGTCGTTTGCTGCAGTTGTGCACCATCCCTGAGAGTGCCTACGTCAATCTCCAATGCGCTGACGCGGTCCGGAATGTAGGAGGGGCAAATGGCTGTTGCTGCAATGGGCTGCTGTTCCAAAGTGTGCACGTGGGTGGTCAATGCCTGCCCATTCTGATCCAGTGTGAGGACGTCCTCTTGCTGGGCCATGCAGGTGGCCACCAGGTCCACAATCCGCTTGATGACCATGGAAAACTTTCACAAGGTCTCGGAGGCACCCTCCTCCTTGGCCGACTTGTCCCAGTCTGTGGCCAAGGTCAAGACTGCGGCGCCGCCCGACCCGGAGTGTCTGTCTTGCTTCGTCTGCAGCATGGCGTGCTGCGTCCTCGTGCGCTTGCTGCTGTAATTCAGCAAGGCGACGTATCTCCTCGGGTTCCTTCTCTCTCTTTTCTGGAGCGGCAAGTGCTGCATCTGCTCTTTGCTTAACCTCGAGCATCATGTCAGCCAGCCGGGCCTCGTAGTCTGCCTCGGACTCATTGTCCCTGTGTTCCATCCCCTTGATCGCCGACCGAAGGACTGGAGGACTGCGTGGCCGTTGCTGATGTGGCACTATTGCCCTTCTGACGTGGGACGATTTGGCTGCTGATGTGGCATGGATGTCGGCTGATGTGTCACTGCTGATGTGGTCTGCTGACCTGTCACTGCTGACGTGGCCTGCTGATGTGTCACTGCTGACATGTCACTGCTGATGTGGCACTGTGCTGATGTGGCAACTCACCAATGTCCGCAGCAGAAGAGATGGAAGAAGAAGGAGAAAAGAAGAAAAAGAGGAATGCAGTGCAGTGTAGATGGGGTGGGTGGGAGGGATGACACACCATCAATTGAAAAGCATCACCCCACTTCCCATGGGGTCACATTGGTCACCCAGATAGGAGGCCTCTAATCAAAATTTGAAAAAGATTGACCTTGCTTGAAAGAAAAAGAAAAAATCAAAAGAAAAATAATAATAACGAATAATTTCGAAATAGCAGGTTCGATAGGTCTCCCAATCCCCAAAAAAAAAAATAAAAAAAATGCAACATTCAAACTTCGAACTGCAGATGTTGTGAATCATGAGTGACTTCCATCGGTGTGCAATCAAGGGGAATCCTGGGGAGAGCCGTTTCTGGGCATGATGGGGGCTGTATCAGGAAATGCTGGAACAAAGAGAGCCCGGCCAGTTGCATTTCGGCCCCCTGCTGAGGAGGCCAGCGCCACACGCCGCTGAGAATGTGCAGCATGGAGCAGCTTGAGTCGGGCGAGGCCCTTGAGCCGGCCCTGATAAGTAGTATTTAGGAGCTTACATAGTAGGGTGAAATGGTATTCACCAGTTCGCAGTAGCGAATGCAGATCCCAGGGCTTGATCCCTAGTTCCCCGTCTTACCTGTGTACAGTACCAGTGTCAACCCGTAGATTTGAACCTGCGACCTGTAGGACCGCCAGTGGTAGGTAGGTTTTCGTAGGTYACAGGGTAGAAGGGAATCGAACTGTASACCTGTAGGGTAGGAGTCTAGACAGTTCCGAAGTGGTAGTTGTAGGATGTCTGAARGGTCAAGGTCGTAGCYGCTACAGWACCGAAAGGCCAAGTTAGAGGTTTCTWGAAGTGGCCTTTCGGAGTGAGCCTGCGTCGAACAGAGGCAAGTGGTCAAGTGGTGGTAGGCCACCTCGCTGAGTCAACAGTCCCAGTTAGGCAGTCCGGTCCTGTCCAGCAAGCACCGTCTGGGACTGTGTGCACCAGGGGCCAAGGGACACASGGCAGACCAACRCAKCGCAGAAGTATAAATCAAGAGGCTGCGTCCAGTCATTATTCATTCCTGCGGAAGCCATGCGGAAGCGCTGCCTCAGCAGSTTGTGCGAGGAGSTCTGCAGAAGGCCCGAAGACGAAGAGGGCGAGAGTGACAYACTGTAGCCATAGCAGTAGGGTAGCAGCGGCCATAGCCGCCATAGCTGTAGCTTAGGGGAAGAGTGTGTGTACTGCGTGTGTGTACTGGGTATCGCGTGT